GATCGAGCCAAGCGCATCCAGCACATCGCTCACCGTGGCGACGCCGCCGTGGATGTGAAGCTCGAGCGAGGTCTCGCCCGTGTAGCTCGCGCCGGCAGGGAACAGGATCACGCCCGCGCCGGCATCGAGCAGCTCGCGCGTGTGTGGATGGTGCAGGTTGCGCACCACCAGCTTGTGCGCAGGCGGAAGACGCACGTAGGGCAGCAGGCGCGAGGTGAGACAGAGCGAGTGGTAGATGCGCTCCACCGCTGCGCCCGAGATTCGCACGATGGCTACGCCGGCACGGCCAGCGCCCGTCGCCAGCGCGTAGATCGTATCGTTCGGCCGCGACGGCGCGCGAGAGCTCGAGGCGAGTGTGCGGACGGATGCGCGAGAGGCAACGGCGCCCGAGTCGAGGACCGGTTGAGCGCGGTGCTCAGCTTGCAGGACGGCGTCGCGGACTGCATGGGCCAAGTGTGGCCGTGTGCATTGTCGGGCAGCGCCGACGAGTCCTATGCGCCAGCCACAGCACCGGATGACCATAGAGGATATGCACTCCAGCAATGGGACCAGGAGGAAGAGAGGTAGCCTAGAACAGTGAGTGAGCTTTCAAAAGTCGCCTCGGAAGCTCTCCGACGCAAGTGGAGGCTGCGGCCACTTTTTTAGGCTCGGCTTCTCCCACACTCTTCGTGCGCGCGTTTGCGTTCTGGGTTCTTCGCACCAACACCGTATTCGGCCTTGTCACCTCCATCGGCACCGCCGGCCCGCGCGCTTTCGCTTCTGGCCTGCGCTTCGCATGATCTCTACCCATCCTTGGAGACTCGCTCGATCTCACTTGACGCAGCTCCGAGCTATGTCGTCTTCCGCGCCCGCCTCGGCACCCGCACCGGTGCCGCTGGTGATGCAGCTCATCGTGGACGGTGCATCGTCGACGTCGTTCGGGTGGCCCAAGGGGCCGTGGATGGCGCAGTCGGCGCATGCAGCCATCGCGGCGATCCAGACGTCGCTCGACTCGGCCGCGACGCGCGAGTACGTCTCGAGCGCCAACCTCGAGTCGATGCACAAGGTGACGCTCCAAACGCCCGCCGAGGGCAAGGCCAAGATGACGCTCCCGCAGCTCTCGGAAAAGCTCACCGCCGCGCGTGCAGAGTGGGAGAAGACGCGCAACGCGGCGTCGGAGGATGCGGACGAGTTCCCACGCCACTTCCTGTGGATCGAACAGCCGGAGAACGTGCCGACGTGCCTCGCCATTGCGCCGAACCGCAAACCCGCGGCGCTCAAGAAGGTGCTCCGCCCATGCACGCTGCTCAAGGAATAGAAGCTATGTTTGCGAGTGAGAGGATACTAGTACATTGTGTGTGCGTGTCGAAACGATCGAAGCTGGGTATCGTTGGGGAGGGAGATCAGGCCTTGACGAGCGCCTCGACGGCCTTGTCGAACGTCTCTACGCGCACGGGCATCTCTGGCGTGTAGAAGGGATTCTTCATGACGTGATCGGCATACGCCTCGTAGCAGCGCTGCAGCACGCCTGCCGGATTCGGATGCGCCGGCGACGTGACCAAGACAAACTTTGTGCCTTCCAAATCGACCACCATGAAATGAACTGGAATCAGCACGTTGGGCGGTTTCTGTCTCGGATTCGCGAAGATATCGGACTTACCTGTGGGTGTGAGCATGACGCGCACGGTAAAGTGGTCCGAGTCGAGCGACTCGATGCCCGAGCACGCGCGGTTGGGCACCGGATTGAGCTTGGCCGTGATGGCGTGGATGCCATGCAGGGTGCCCGCCAGCACCAGGTATTCGTTCGACGAGAGCCGGCCGCCGTTGGGCATGGATGCGGCGTTGGGATGCACAAAGTGCTCCGACTGAAAGATCAGCCCTCCTGCCTTGTTGATGATCCACAGCGACGACATGGCCGAGGTGCTGCTGCGTTGGTGTCTCTGGTGTGAGCGGCGGTCGAGAAGCAAGCCCTTGCGAGCGGTGGCCCGAGAGCACCGCAGCTGCAAGCGGGCGCTTGAACCCTGAACGACGAGTGTCTCGGCCGGGTGGAAGAACCGCCCTAGTTCCAGCCAGAGTTCAATTTTCTTTGCCTTGAAAGGGCCACCGCCGACAGTCAGGCAGAGGCGCGTTGCTCCGTGGCTGCAGCGCTGCGGAAAAAAAAAGGCTTTTCGCTGCGGGTGTGTGAGTGTGCGTAGGAAGCGGCTGGGCGCGTCTGGCTCGCATCGCTGCAGGCTGCGGAGCCGCGTTCGAGGTGTGGGCTGCGAGGCCGGTCGGATTTTTGCTTGGTCTTCGCCATCATCGGTCGCTGCTGCACTGTCCGCTCCACCATCCTCGCAGTCGTCGTTCATACCCATACCTAGTCCGACACTGCACATCTTCACCCTGATATCCTTCAGCACATTCTAGGGATCTACGCCGAGATCTGCACACCCCATCTCGCACCGATCGACGGCTGGACATTGCCGATTCGCCGAACCATATCCAACAGTAATCACCATGACGGCTGACCTTGTCACCGTTCTCGCCGAGGGCACGTTCGAGGAGCAGATCGTCGAGGTCTCGGCGTTCCTCTCGCGCTCGCAGGCCGAGGCTTCGCGCAACGACTTTGTCCAGCGCTTCCAGCAGCTCGCGCTCGAGGCTGAGCCGGCTGCGCCCGCCGCCGCCGCGGACGCCGCCGAGGGTGCGGCCGCGTCGTCGTCCGACCCGGCCAAGAAGAAGCAGACCGTCCAGCAGCTCGTTTCGGAAGTCAAGTCGCTCGGCGAGGGCACCGACCGCGAGCTGGAGGGTGTATACAACCTGCTCGCCTCGCTCATCACCTCGACGTTCGGCGACGATGCCGCGCAGTCCGCACAGCTGCTCAGCACGCTCGTCGGCGCCGTCAGCAAGGAGGGCGCGGCGGAGAAGAACAACGTGAGGTATCGCATCCTGTCCAACCTGTTCAACAGCTTGCCTGCGTCGTCGGCGCAGCGCCTGGGCATCTTCAACGCGCTGCTGGCGCTCGCGGCTGCCAACGACGACCTGGACTACCTCACCTCGTCGCTCACCGCGCTGCCGCAGTGGCTGTCGCAGTGGGAGGTGTCGGAGGCCGACAAGGCGGCGTGCCTCGAGTCGGTGGCCAAGGCGCTCGAGGGCGCCGAGAAGGAGCACGGCCAGACCAACAAGGCGTACCAGTTCCTGCTGCTCCACCTGCGCTTCATCAGCAACGGCGCCGACGGCGCGGACACCAAGCAGGCTGCCGAGCGCACCGTGGCTGCGGCGCTGCGTCTGCCCAAGCTGTACGAGTTCGAGGAGCTGATGCAGATCAAGGCGGTGCTGGGCCTCAACGGCACGCCCGTGTTCGAGCTGCTCAAGATCTTTGTTGGCGGCAATGCCAAGGACTTTGCGGCGTGGAAGCAGGCCAACGGCGCCGAGCTGGCACGACTGGGACTGGACCACGACCAGCTGGTGCACAAGATGCGTCTGCTGGATCTGGCGGATCTGTGTGCGCTGTCGGTGTCGTCGGACGTGGCGTACGCCGACATTGCCAAGACGCTCGAGGTGGGCGCGGACGAGGTGGAGGTGTGGGTCATCGATGTCATCCGCGCCGGCCTGGTGTCGGGCAAGCTGAGCCAGGTCAACGAGGCGTTCCGCGTGTACAAGAGCACGCACCGCCAGTTTGGAAAGGCGCAGTGGCAGCAGCTCGAGGCGCGTCTGGTGCAGTGGCACACGAGCATCGCCAACATCATCGACACCATCGCCGCCACGCGCGGCGGCAAGCTCCCCGACGCCGTCGCCGACACCGCCGTCCAGGCATAAGCAGCATCCTCGCTCCAAACTGGTCTTCCACGTCTTGGTCAGGATGGCCTCACTTTGTCCGATCTCAAGAATAAAGTGTACTCTTTTCGTCCGTCACTTGAGCGCGCGCGTCTGTGTGGGCTGAACGGAAGCGGGTATCATTGCGTGCGGGGTTTTCAGAAGGGTAGTTGAGCGAGAGCCTGTTCGAACGCAGGGTCGTCAAAGCCGTCAACGTCGTGCATAGCTTCGTCGGTCGCATGTGCCTGTTGCTGCTGGGACTCGATCCAGAGCTGCTGGAGCTGTTCGTCGTCGGCGCGCTCGAGCGGATGGACGAGTTCGTCGTAGCGCGTCTCGTGTTCGAGCCACTCGAGCTGATCCGGATCGATCCAGCCGATCTCGAGGTGTCCCTTGAGCTCGTAGATGCGCTTCAGCCGTGCGTATTCGGCGAGGATGCGTGCGCGCGTCAACTCGTCATCCTCTTCCCTCGCCTCGGCATCGCTAGGATAGGGAGGGGAGGAAGGCGCCGAGTCGTCGTCCTGGTCCATTTCGTCGGAATACAAGCCGGGCGTGGCACCGTCGATGCCCGTGCGGAAGGCGCGCACTTGGGCATTGCGCTGCGCAATGCGCGTCTGGTTCATCGCGCGCTGACACCGCTCAAAGAACGACTGGCGATACGACGACGATGCCCCGCTCGACAGCACGTGATCCTTGGCACCGCGTCGTGGCTGCGACGAGGCAGAGAGCGATGCCGAGCCGGTCGGGGTGGGCCGAGAGCGCGGTGCGGATCGCGAACCGGAGGTTTGCCGCGCAAAGAAGCGTGCGCGAGTCGCTTCGATCGCCGCCTTGGTAGACGCCGGATAGACGCTCTCGCTCGGCGACGAGAACACCTGCATGGGAAGCGTGGGTGTGTCCGAGGGAGGAGCTGGTCCCGACGGCGACCACGGCTCAGAGCCACGTCCTTGGTTCTGTTCCATGTGCGGCCGCTCCATGTCAGCTCCTGCTGCAGCAGCTGTGTTGTAGGGCTGCGGTCGGTAGGAAGGAGGTGCGTGCGGCTGCGCAAGGGCAGCGATCATCGTGTTCGCAGCTCGGCTGGCGTCGGTACTCTGCAGAGCAAAGGCGTGGGCTGCCTCATCCACGGCAGTCGAGTATGCAAGACGGAAGCAAGGAAGATGGAGGTGGCCACTGAGCCGCAGATGTCGGCTGCGCAAAGCGAGAAGGGAAAGAGGGAAGCGGACGAGGAGGTCCGCACTCTGAACCGGGTCGGAAGCGCGCTGCCATTTTACGCCACCAACGCTCTTCCTCCAAAGCTCAGCTGCAAAAAAGTGGAGCAGCAGAGCAGCCGCCCAAAGCGACGCGTCGCGCTGCAAACAAAGTCTAACATTGATCAAGCCGGTTCACCGCATTGAGCTTGGCTCTTGCTCGGTCACTGCTGAGAATCTTGGTAGATGCGAGACTCGACGAGGTACTCGACCAGCGCTGGCGGCACGAGGGTTTCCAGGCGTTGCTTCTTATCCGCATCGTCGATGCTGGTGTCCTTGAGCAGCGAGCGGATGCTGGTCGAGCTGAGCTTGGCCTGGTCCGACTCGAGGTCGAGCATGCCGATCGACTGCTGCTCGACCCACTTTGCCACGTCGCTCGACGCCAGCAGCTTGTCCTCTTGGCTTCTCGCCTCTCCCTCTGCATCCTTGGACGCAAGCTGCGGGTACGACGCTGGGTCGCGACGCGCACATACAAACGTAGTCCGCTCCTGGTCGAAGAACTTGTTGCACTGCTCGTGCATCTGGTGCAGCGATTCGTAGTACTTTGGCTGAAACACGCGGTAGAGCGTATCGAACCCGACCACCCAGTGCAGTCTCGTCAGTGTCGTGTCGCGGTCTGGCTGTTGCTGTTGTAACAGCTCGCGGGTCAGCGTGGACTTGGCAAAGATCAGCGGCTTGTCCACCAGGCCCACCGCTACGTTGGCTGTGCGACCCGCGGCGGACTGGATGCGCTCCACATGGCGCGCCATGAGCGTCATCATCTCCACTCGCTGCTCGAGGCTCGCGTCGCCCGGCTTGCCTGCGCCCTTGTCGGCGTTCTGCGTCGAGAAGAGCAGCAGGTGGCCGTCGTAGCTGCGTTTGGGCCGTGCCAGGATCGGCTCCGACAGCAGCAGCGCCAGATGGGCACGAGAGGGCGGGTTGAACGAAGAGTCGAGCACCGCAATCTCGATGCTCGCCGGCGCCGTGCCATCGGGTGCGCTCGAGGCGGGTGCGAACGGCCAGTGCGGGCGCGTCGAGTAGACGAGCCGCATGCCAGAAGCGCCTGCCGTCTCGGCGGCAGAGCGTGCGACATGACTTGCGAGCTTCATCTCGGACTGAGCGTCGGTGGGGGCGCTGGTGCTGGCGGTCCGGCTCGCCATGGTCGTAGTGATGGCTGCTGCCGGTGAGCAAGTTCGTCTGCTCCGCGTCCAATGCATTTGCAGTCAGCAGCATTGTGGAGGTCGACCCGGCTCGCGATCTCACATTCGAGTCTCATGATCAAGCTGCGACTCGGATGTTAAGGTATAGAATCTCACAATCAAGGAAAAAAGGCGACGTGTCGAAGCCGAGCGGCTTCCAGCAGCACATCCGTGCGCTCCGCTGCGCTCCTAACACAGGCACTGGCCTGAGCAACACCGCCATTCTTCGCGCCTTCTCTCTCTCTCTCTCTCTCTCTATCCACCACGTCTCGACCACCTCGCGCTCACACTCTCACATCATGGAGTCGACACTATTTAAGGTGCAATCGCTCTTCTACCAGGCCGCCTATCAGGGCTGCATCGATCTGGCACTCTCGTCGTCGTCCAACGCGCGCTCTTCGGACCCCACCACCATCTCGACGCTGCTCTATGCTGCGCGATCGCACCTTGCGCGCTCTCCGGCCGACCCGGCATCGGCGCTTGCGCTTCTCAAGTCGATGAACTCGTCCGAGCCGCACGTAGCTGCCGTGGAGGCGCTGGCGCGCTTCGTGCAGGCGCATGCGCAGGACGATGCGGACGGCACCTCGCGCGAGATCATCGCGCTCACCGAGCTGCTCGACCACGCCGTCGTTGGCGAGTCCAAGGGCGAGGTGATCCGATGTGCCGCCGCCACTGCGCTCTTCCTCGATGGTGATGCCGAGGAGGCGCTCAACACGCTCGATGTGGGAAGTGCGTCGAGTAGCGAGCTCGAGTGTGTGGCGCTTGGTGTGCACATGCTGCTGGCGATCCACCGGCTTGATCTGGCAGAGGCAGAGTACCTCGCTGCACGCAAGTGGGCGGACGACTCGCTGCTCATTCAGCTCATCGAGGCATGGATCGGACTCGCAAAGGGCGGCAGAAGCACCCAGCAGGCTTTCTACGTGTACGACGAGTTGGCCCAGAACCCCGCAGCTGCAGACACGGTGAATGCAGTGCCTTCGCTCGTGGGCAAGGCTACGGCGCTGGCCGCAAACGCCGACTTCGCAGGCGCAAACAAGATGCTCGATGCAGCACTCAAGCTCGATGCCAACCATGCCGAGGCACTGGCCAACAAGGCGACCGTCGCGGCGCATGTCGAGCAGGCCACAAGCGGCGAATGGATGGACAAGCTCAGGAGCGCCAATGCATCGCATCCGTTGCTGCGCGAGTACAAGGCACTCCAACAGGCATTCGACCAGCATGCCGCATCGTTCCGCCTCGGCGCATCGACCGAAGCCTAGAGAAAGTCCTTGCCAATGTCATGCCAGCGCTTCTGTATAACAATCAGCGTTCTCTACGTGCACACACGTATGAAAAAAGGGGAAACCGTGAGACAAAAGAATGAAGGATTTCGGGTACAAATACATGAGCTGGGTGTGAGTAGGGCATCATCGGCGGCCTCGGACGGAGGGGGCGGCGGTGGAGAGAGCGGGCGAGCCCATGTCGTCGCTCAGGGGCGTTGCGTCCCGCACGACGGGCGCATCGTTGGCCAGCAGCCTGGAGCGGACACTACGCGTGCTCTGCCTCAAAGCCTGACCGCGATGGTCATCATCATCATCGCTATCCGCGTCGTCTTCGTCCAGATGCAGATCCGCCAGCACCGGTTTGGCCGCCCTCGCGGCGAAGAAGGTGCGCTTGGTCCTGCCCTTGCCTTTGGCAGCTCCGGCGCCGTTCTGCGCAACGTAATTGAGGCCCAAGTCGTGCTCAAACGGCCTGATGGGATCCATGATGCCTGCTTTCCTGCGCCCGTTGGAGACCGTCGACAAGCGCCGACTCGTGGCGGCCTCCCAGGCCGAAACGCCGTGCGCGTCTTCGTCGTCCGAGAGCTCGTCGTCCCAGTTCTGCACGTGCGCATCGCGCAGACGCTGCGAGATGCGCTCGTCCAGATCCGAGTCTTCGTCATCCGACACCTCGACATCCGCAGGGTTGAGCGTGGTGCGCGGCACCTCCTGCATCTGCACGCCAGGCGCCGACGGCAGCTGGCGCAGGTTGTCGATCACCTTGGTGCGCAGATTGTCGAGGTACTCGCGCGTGTTGAGGTTGTCCATCGAGGTCGGCGGCACCTCGAGCTTGTACTCGGGCCCAAAGTACTGGATGTAGTCGTTGAACGGCAGGTCTTCGTCGAGCCGCTGCCCGACGAGCAGGCCGGTCTCGTACGTCCAGGTGCGTGCGACGTTGCGCACCGTATATCCTCCTCCACCCAACGTGATGAGCGGTACGTCGAACGTCTGCATGAACGCGACGCAGTCCGCGTGGCCGCGCATCGAGAGGTTGAAGCAGCCCAGCTTGTCGCCCGCGAGCGAGTCGGCGCCGCACTGCAGCACCACGGCGCCCGGACGGTACCAGTCCATGATGTGCGAGATGACGGGTCGGAAGATGTTGCCGAACTCGGTGTCGCCGATGCCGTCGCGCAGCGGTACGTTGACGCAGTAGTTTTTGCCGCGCTTCATGCCGACGTCGCGCACGTCGCCGGTGCCGGGGAAGAAGTCGCCAAACTTGTGGAAGGAGGCGGTCATGACGCGGTCGGTGGTGTAGAAGGCCTCTTCGACGCCGTCGCCGTGGTGGATGTCGATGTCGATGTACAGCACGCGCAGATGGACGCGCAGCAGCTCGAGGATGGCGAGCACAATGTCGTTGACGTAGCAGAAGCCGCTCGCCTCGCGCTTCTTGGCGTGATGCAGACCGCCGGCCCAGTTGATCGCCACGTCCGACTCGCCCGAGTTGAGGCGCGTGGCCGCCGCAAGCGAGCCGCCCGCCGAGATGGAGCAGAACTCGTAGAGGCCGTCAAAGGCAGGACAATCCTCGCCGATGAGGTAGCGCGTGCCCTCGTTGGTGAGCTCGTGCACGGTCTCGGGCGTGACGCGGTGGAGAAAGTCGACGTACTCGTCGGTGTGGAAGCGCGTCATCTGGTCGCGCGTAGCCCGCTTGGGACGCAGGATGTCCATCTTCTTGTGCAGGCCGTAGTTGGTGACGAGGTTGTGGGTCATGCGCATGCGGTGCGGCTTCATGGGATGGCCGAGGCCGTAGCTAAAGTTGCCCACGTCATGGTCGTAGTAGTAGGCTACCCTCTTGCGAGGCGTGCGAAACACCGGAGCTGGTTCCATGGCGGTCAGAGGCAAGCTGCGTCTTGGATGCGTGGGGATCAGACAAGAGTTGGGCGGCGCGCGACACGCAGCACCGACTGCGTGCAGTGATGCAGCCAGGCGGGGCGGACAGCGGTCGAGCGAGTCGGTGTTGGATGGAGCGTGTGGCTGGCTGGATGGAAGGAAGGGGCGACGAGGTGATGATGAGGCTCGGATTCAAGCTTGGATTCATCACATCCGACGCGGTTGGGCGCTCTTCGGCCGCTCTCTCTGAGGAGAATCCGCTTCCACTTCCACTCGCTCAACCAGAAGCGGTTCGTGCATGCCCCCTCCCTGCATCGGGCATTCTCGCTCCCCCGATCTTGCAACGTCTCCTCAGATTCCAGATTCCATTCCGACGTGTTGCTCTCCTCTCTTTCATTCGCGAGCGACGAGAAGCCGAAAATTCTCCACACAACCTCTCCTTCCCGCCATCACCGCACCAGTCGAGGCTGACATCCGACACGCAACCATGTCGGTGCCAGACGCATCACCTGCGCCAGCTGCGCAGCTCGCCGCGGGTCTCGACGAGGAGGCCGCCGCGCTCGCCGCCGACATTCTGCCCGTATTCACCTCGGCAGCCGCGGTGCACGACATCTGGTCGCACGACCGCGTCGACTCGATCGCGCGACGCCGGACGCAGATCCACGGCCACAAGCTCTTCTTCGACGAGCTGCTCTCCTTCGCTTCCATCGATCCCGCGCTCTACCCGCCGCGCTCCGACGACCAGCTCGCCGCGCTTCTGCGCGCCATCTTCAATGCCACCTCGCTCGACTACCTCAAGCAGCTCTCGCTCGTCTACTACCTCCTCCTCGATCTCGACGCACGCTCTCAGTCGCATGGTCAGAACCAAGGCGCAGCAGACCGCTTTGCCGATACGTACGTCGTACTGCCCCAGTTCACCGACGCCATGAACGGCTACTGGCTGCTCGACAACGACGAGTACGATCGCGCCATACCTTTCCTCGCCATCGCCGACTTCATCCCCAAGATCGTGCGCACGCTCTTCGTCGCTCCGGACGCAGACGCACGCACCGAGGTGGCGCGCGCCAAGCTCCTCCTCCGCTTCCTGCGCACCTCGAGCCAGCCCACCTCGTCCGCGCCTGGCTCCGAGCCTTTTTTGCAGGAGGTGGAGATGCGCATCCAGGCGCTCTGCTTGGTCAGTGGTCCCAGCCGCGCCTTTGTAGAGATCCGCGCGCTCACCTCGGCCATCCACGACGACGAGGCGCGCAGGGTCGCCATCCGCGCGCGCCTCATCTTCAAGGTGCTCGAGCACTGCTTTGCGCCGCCGCGCCCCGCCGCCATCCGCAACCTGCTGGCGTGCAGCCTGGATGCGGAGGAGGAGGTGACGCTCGAGAGCTTTGTGCTCGCGCCGCCGCCCGCCATGACCGCCACGTGGAGCTATGCCGCCGCCGACGTCCTCATCGTCCGATACATCAGCCAGGGCCGATACATGGACGCCGTCGGCCTCGACCGTAGGCTCGGACCTGATGTCAGCCAGGGCCACTCGGGCGCAAAGGATGCGCAGCAGCGCAGCAAGATGATGGAGCAGCGCAAGCGCATGATCGCCGGAGCACGCGAGATCCTGCCCGAGGTGCAGAAGGAGCTGCTGCGCATCGAGGAGTCGGTCGAGATTAGCGGCACCGGCGCCGGCACGGCCAAGCAAGGGCAGCCCAGCCCTTCCGCAGATGATCCCACGCCCACGGTCAAGCACGATGCGCTCGACGATGTGTCGATCCGCTCGGCGAGGGTGCCAACGCCGCTCACCGCTTCGCCGGCTGCGAGGAGGTCGGCGCAACACACGCCTTCGACGCAAGCGGCGATCCTCTCGGCGGTGGTGCGCGCATCCGCCTCGCCCTCGGCAGCCAACACGCCCAGCCGCGGCGCTGCGCTCAATGCGGCGTCTCCAAGCGGCGCCTCGATCAACGGCACGCCGGGCCGCCGCTCGGCCTCGCCGCACCCGGCTGCGATGCTCGGCTTCCTCGCCAAGAACGCGCTCAGCGGCACGAGGAGCGGCGGCGACTCGGCGGACGCCGCTTCTGCCGACGAGGCGATGGACGATGAGACCGAGCTTGATGGGTCTGCCGTGCTTGTTGCGCGACCGGGCGACACGGACAAAGTCGCCTCGCCCACGCCGACCGCGCAGCCGGCG